CGGAGTTCTCCACTGCAACCATATCTGCTTTGTTCCCACCATTTGGGATGCAGACCTTAAGAATCTGGATCATGGATTCCTTATAATTAAAATGTGGTCCCAAAACTGAAGCCAACAAAACCAGACTTGGACCATAGTCTCACCTACTACAATTCCAACCCCTAAGACACCAGAATCCCTCTGGTTATCACTTGCAGGCAGCTCTAAGCTTGTGTAGCTTGGACATATCATTAACGACCTAACTTCTTTTGGAAAAGCACAACCATCTCAAGGTAGCCATGGGGGACAAACCTGTCCTGGCTTACTGACAGACCCACAACCTCAAATGGTATTTCTTGAGCAACAGGCTAACCCCAGATGCAAACAGTGCCCCCTTATCAGTACAGACCACATCATCACTGGACCAAATAACACAGTTTATAACATCTGAGGTTCATTCACTGCATCTCTACCTATGCCATATCTATCATTAGCTACTTAGAATGCTCCTCTGCTGTCTATGTTGGACAGACAGGGCAATTGAAAAGTGAAAGAATATCAATCTGACAAAGTCCAAAAACATTAAGAAACCCTCCTGGACAATCTGTCTATGACCTTAGAGTAAAGTTTTCCTACACAGCAAAACTTTAAAAGCCTGAATTAGCTTTTGTGACCCTTTGATCCTATGGATTTTATTACATGCTGGCCTCTTCCAGCAATGCCTCCCCTTCCTGTCTTTCATATTCTGATCTCTCTGTTTGATAGCCTGCTTTCTTTTATAGCATCTTATGAAGCAAGCTCTCACTCATGAAAGCTTATGCATCTCTGATTTGATGAGTTTTGTAAGTTCATTTTTACCTTGCCTTCTAGTAGCAGACTGATATACTGACAGGAGGTATATTGGGATCCCGCTGTGATCTGTTATGGCTCTACTGCTGTTCACATGGATGGATATAGTAGCAGACTTAACTGTTTTAAGTTAAATCAGTTTATTGAACTTCTGTCCCAGATCCCCACCAGGTTCAAGTTAACTCACAGTCCCCCAACATCCAAGGATGCTTTGCACCTCCTTCCCTGAAAACCCCTTTTCCCCATTCATAGGGTGGGCAGACTAGCCTTGGCCCAAGCTGTCTGCTTGAGCAGAGAGGTATGCTCTAGTGCCCTCTGGCTTCTGGCCTGGACCACTACAGGCATGTGGCTGCATTTCCAGAATCAAAAGTGAATGTCTGTTCATTTACTTACTGGTTCAATCTACACAACTTAGACTAACCTGAAAAGACTGAATTGATTCAGTCTTGGGTTTTTTGTCTGTCTGTGCTTAGCCAAAGAGGCTGGAATTACCAGCCATGTTAGGAAAAAGGACTAGGTGTACTTAGTTTGGAGAAAAAGAGACTGGGGACCATATTGCTGTCAGTTTTCAGATACAGGTTGCTCTAAAGAAGAGAGAGAAAGAGGGCTGGCCATGAAGCAGTGGCCAGAAGAGCACATTTAATATAAAAATCATGTACTGCATCTTTGTGAGTTGAAGAATTTATATTTGTACTAGCCAGTTGCCTGTCAAGAATGACGGGGGAGGGAACTGGGATGGAGTGCTGCCACCTAATGGCCCATGATGCCGCTGTTCTGCCTCTGGTCCTCGGCACAGCTTCAGAATCATGGCAGTGCTTCCCCACACTTGGAGTACTCCAATTGGCTGTTTCCGTAATCCAGTCAGAGTGCGAATAAAGTGTTATGGACAGACAGACAGACGTAGGCTTTTATAATTGTTAGAATTAGGGGAAGACAGATCTGAGATCCTTTAGTCCTTCTGTTCCATTCTACCTTGCAACCCCAGGTTTTTCCATGCTTTCTCAGTTTTTTTTTTTTTCAACACTTGAATATTAGAGATAT